TACTGAAAATTTTGGCTACATTTATGATCGCAGATGGCGCGTCGTCTACTTTTTTGTACTTAGAAATACTTGGTATAGTTCCGAGAGGATTTCAAATTTTCACTAAACTTTCCATTCGGAACTACCTATATGTAGGGCCAATTCCAGCCAAAGTAAAAACCCATGTCCGAGGGGGCTAAAATTATCTTACACGAGAAGCAAAAGCGGAAAATAGTGTTTTTAACTATGTTTCCAAAATTTTCGGCAGAGACCGTTGCTGAAAAGATTACCCCATATTCGTATTTTAAAAAACTGCAATACAAAATTACACTACGTCAGACTACAAGTTCATTACCCATTCCAGGCGATTAAAATCCAAAGAAACTAAATATCCAAACCTCTGTGGACCCAACAAGAGATGGGATCGAATATCGACCCTGGTACCTTGTACCAGAAACGGATACCTGGTCATTGCTTCCCACACAGGTATTGTCCAATCCTATGGTGAAGATCCCAAGTGATAGATACAGCAAACTCCTAGAAGTTTCCAAATTGGTACCATCGTGAGGCCTATACAAGCTCTCAGAGAGTTCCATTTTTTTGTGTACTTACAGGAGACCTCAAAATTTAGTGCTAGACAAGGCGGAACCAAAAAGACAGTGATAAGGAGTAAAAACATATTCAAGTCCACTTGGGAGTAGATGCATGTACTAAGTTAGTGGCCCAAGGTTTCCATAGGAACGTTTCAGGGAAGATATTCTTATTTTAATTGGGGAAGGAGAGCACTAGAGATATCTTTGCCCCAGAAGGACAGTCAGGCAGAAAAGAAAATCTTCACAATTATCATTTATTTTAATTCTTATTGTTAATTCAGAATAGGGCTTTTGTCGATTGCCAAATCTCAAAGTATCAGTTTTATTTGTGTTAAAATATAAAGAATTTTTGGAGAACATACCCATTTTTTCCAAAATCCTTTCATATAATATTTTTAAATTATGGTCTGATTTATCATTTTATAACTGAAGTGTCGTTTGCAAAAATAATGGTTCTCCTTTGTTAAGTTATCTAGTTATATAGTTATCTATTATATACAGTAAAAGTAGCATAGTGCCCAATACTGAGCCTTGCGGAACTCATTAATTTATTTCTAAATTATCAGACTCACTGACCCTATTTTCGTAATTTATGGTTACATACTGTATTACAAAATGTATTCAGTTTAATGGAACCTTGTTTTAATTTAATTAATTATACAATTCTCATTCACCATCAAAGATATTTGATAAATATTATATTTTTTTAAATCTTAACCTTCTCATTATTTGAACTAAAATTGTTGATCTAACTTTATATCTTTCCTATGATTTTCTCGTTACATATTTATAAATAATTTGAATTAATAATTCACTGAATACTGATATATCACTTCCTTCTGAATACAATAATGTTTCTTTCTCATTATTTTATTCGAGCGTACAGAATTATTCCATTCTGCAGTGTCGTTTATCATTCCAGAAGTCATTTGGAAGAAGATATCTAGTCACATTTACATTTCGGAATACCCCAGGAAAATATCCCACAAGATACTCACAGAACAGAATTTCATATTCTGAAATTTCGACCTGTTTTTATATTCATCCCATAAATATGCAAAAATCTTGTAACTACTTTTTGTATTAAACTGTAGTGTGTATATTTGATAACTACGCTTTTGGTTTAAAAAATGTTAGCCTGAAAAGTTTTTTCCATTTATGGGCTGGGAAGTTTGTTTTATATTTCGATTCCTTACTGGAAAGCTTATAAAGCTTTCAGTAATTTTGTTAAATTATTCACTTTTAAATCAATACAGTTCGTCCCTCATGAGATCCCAAAATTAATTTGATGGGACTATCGCATGCCATTCCACCCCAACTTAATACCTACATCATAATATAAATATACTCGTCCCTTACAAAATTCAATAAAAACATTCCGACACGGAAATAAGTCATTTTAGGAATTAAACTGAAATCTCACGACACGACATATTATATAAATATAATATAAAAACATTTGCGATGGCATGGCAGTTCCAACTACGTAAAAAGAAACTATAAACAGTGGCGCTTCGTATGGCTGCGCTACCAACTATATTGATTTAAAGCGGCGGCGGGCGTTTTGAAATATATGCACTGTTTCATTCAGAACAACTGTCATTTATTTATTTTAAAAAGAAGATACCTAAGTAATTCTGAAATGGACGCCACGAAATTACCTGAGGCGAAGTTTAAATTATCCGGAACATTTTTCAAAGAGAGCGAACTAATGTTTCTGTCTCGTCTCCACAGAACTACTAAACTGCGACCTCAAGTCACAGAATATCCTGGATATTCTGTGCTCAAGTGTTCTCTCCAGGTGGGTATAAAATATTTACGGAAATGCAGCGAATCAATTATTCAGAACAAGGTACTCCCATTACACGGATATGCCTTTTACCCCACATTAAACTATTATACGCCACAATTATATGTTTACCTACTATCCCAGTCTCATCCATTTAGGTCGAACATTTCTCTGTTTAATATATGATGATATAAGATTGTACACGAAGTTTGCTGTTATTCTAGCGAGTTATAAATTTTAGTACCAACCAAAGTAATAAAGAAATATTATTGCTAGTGCTAGTCAGAAAATATAGCAAAGTGAAAAACTCGTAACGTCCACTCTCTTTCAAAAATGTAACTAGATCTGTTAAAAATATGTCAAAACTTTTAAAAACAGCAGCGAGAAAACAATACTTTCATCACGTAATCGTCAATTAGGTAAGTAGCTCATCTGGCTCATCCTAATACGTCTAATGTTTTCGTATATTACGATATTAATTGTGCATGTATTATAGAGATTATAAACGACCTGACACCAGCATCCCAGGCCACAATGCAAATCTGTAACTGTTACATGGCACCACGTCCTCTTATGTACGTGTTTCCCTTGAGTTATACGATACGGGCGTTTATATGGATTCCTCGACTGAGATGAGTTAATATAGGACTAATTAATAGTAGATCCTTAAATATTATATTTGCCCCAGTTAGCTTTAATAGGGGCAGTTAATAACAACAATATATTTTGTGTACCTATCTTGTATCTGTTTTGAGGAATAATCAACTTTTAGTCCCAAGTTATTAGCTGTACCAGCGAAATTCATTTACGCAACCGACTAATTACATTTACATATATTCTTTATTTTTAAATTTGGTGGCAATAGATTAAGTTTTGACTCAAGCACAATAGAACACCACTGTAATAAATCTACAATTGTTGTCATGTGATACAGGCGTGCTGTAATTTGTTTATTTTTTTTATTTCTATAATGAAGGCGTCTCATAGTCACCGCCCGTTTCGCTCTTCCACAAATAAGATCCACTTCTTATTTATGGAAGGGCGAAATGGGCGGTGACTATTAGACGCCTTCATTATAGCCATCTTTCTCTATCGCACGGATTTCTATGACTTATTTTATCGCTCTCACGTAACGGCAGATGGACCAACGGTACTTTCCGACCCGTATATGGAAGCTTTGGAAGCACGCTTACGGCGACATTGTAGGTGAGTGACAGAGAGAGAACGATATAGTTTGGGAACTACTTTCTCGCGCAAGCACTTTATTGGCGAAGAGCGGGATCTCCCCACTCTTCCTAAACGATTAGAGAGAAAGAGAGAGAGCAACCGAGTACCTAACATATACTTATTATCTATATATTGGTAGCCGGCTATAGGCCCCCGTGTACGGAATTGTCCGGAGAGAAGGAGATACTTTTCTGTCTCTCCCAAGGAATTAGAATCCAATTGGCATGCCCTGCACACAAAATCATGAACGAGGGGAGAGAGCAAGACGGCTGTGGTCCTTACTACGGATTGTCCACTGCTTAGATTGTGACATTTTTACTTATTGTATCTAGCGAAATTGTCACATTCTCGCATCGGCATCTGCTCCTAACGCATGCGCACCATTCCCTGTTTACTTGGCAAGGACAGAGCGATGAGGCTTTGCTTCCGGTCAAGATCCAAACAAAACTCATAGTATATAGGTAGTATGTATATATGGTTTAATTACAAATATTTTTTTCCACTTCTATTTTCGCCTAAAATCAACTCTTGAAAAGATACATAATTAAATAGGAAGAAAAATATGACATTTTTCGAATTTGTTTAACATATTGTGCAGTCAAAAGTTAAGCCCACGTTTTTTTTATGCGCATAGAAAAATTTTCATTTCTAATGATATTTGAAAGCCAAAATGCTAAAAATCTCCGTGGATATACGATTCACCCAAATATGGACTTTTTGAAACATATACCGTCTGGACTACTTATAAAATCTCACACATTAAATGGCAATTTGACATATTAAATTTGATGTTTAAATAATTCAACAATAACTTGACCCTTTATATTTTAAATAAGGTATCTTGAAATAAAAAAATAGATGATCTAAATTGGTGTCACAGTTTCTATTTCGGTAAGGTACATTTCAGGTAAGGAATTATTGCCATAAGAATTTTCTAAAAAAATAAATTAAATATTGAATGTTCTGACACTCGCCGTTAAATGGCAGCACCAATCAAAATGCTGTCGTCGCTATCGTAAAGTTAAACCTTAGATATCGTTTTAAATTTTAAAAATTAATTAATTACGTAATCTTCTATGTAAAATTAAAACATATTGCAAGGTTGGCAATAGGAATTTTTCCACATAAGGCAGTACTTTATCAATATCTAGGGAGTTGATATAAAGCTGAAATATACAAATATTGAATTTGTGGCGCCATCTACTAGCTAGAGGCAACACTACTGGAGAATTATTGAATTTCTGCACCAATGAACTTTACAAATATTGGATTTGTTGCGCCATCTACTAGAGGGAAGCAACACTATTGGAGAATTGAAATTTCTGGACCAGACTGAAAGGCAACCAGTTTAAAAAAATTTATTGAAATATTGCAACAGAAGCTATTAAAATGTAACGAAAAATAAATACAAATTCATTAAAAATTTGTATATTTTATAATAATGACTTAAATACATCCATTAAAATTATTATAATGTAATTAATCTATGGAATATTAGCTAAGTAATCTTTAACGTGAGAAGGTTCCAATCTTCTGAATCCCGAAGGATCACAAATCCCTACTTCAATATTATCAGCAGTCATTTGGCCCTCGAAACTTTCTTTTAACGTCAAAATTGCAGTGTGAACCGCATCATCCAATTCCAAATCCTCACTGTATCTACAACAAAAATAAAACTTGACGACCGCAACACAGTGAACAAATATTTACTAGAACCTACCTTTTCTCCAAGAAAGTTTTTCCATTTATATAATTCTTTCCCATAGCAGTGGCCTTCCACGCGAAATACGCCCCAGATGGATCGCACTGGAACAAGTACGGTCTATCGTTATCCCAGCCACAAATCAACAAGGAAACGCCAAATGGTCTAACACCCCCAGACTGGGTATATTCTTGCATAACCGCAGCAACACGCTGAACCAATTGTACGGTAGGTATTGGTTCCTGATACACGAGGTAGTACTGTTGGGCCATTTTTCTTGCTTGCTTTACAAGCAAGCGATAATCTGGTCCCATTCCGGAGTAGATCATGCCTATGTGCTTTGTAATCATTTCTACTTTGTGTACGCTGTGTTCATCGTAAAGTATAGACTTGTGTTTGTTTTCAGTAGCGATAACGACTCCATTGGAAGCTGAAAAATAATTGTTATATCCTCATTTTTCTGAATAGACTCTACTACCTACCTTTGATACCCACAGAAGGAGCACCAGCGGCTACGGCAGCCAAGGCATACTCAATTTGAACAAGTTTGCCGGATGGGCTAAAACGGTTTTAGGTTAGAAATAAAGAAAATTGTTTCTTTATATTAGTGTGGAAATGAATTTAATAATTACCTAAATGTAGTCAACGAAAAACTGTATCTTTCTGATGACATGATTACTTGCAAGATGAACCAAACTCAAACACAACGAAAAACAGAAAATCACTCTGTCCTGTCACCTGTCAAATCTGTAAATACCGTATTGAGCACTGAATTTGCCGAATGAAAAGTTATGTGGTAAAGGAACAGATGTTGAAAGAGCGAGATGAATATGGTACTGACATAGACTATGTGAGAATATCATAGACCACGGTGGTCTGTGGAATAAATAATGAATAAATCGAAGCGAATACAGTTCGATAATTGGTTGAATTAAGTGTAGTGTGTCACAGTTGCGTTCTGTGACCGCCTTATTATCGTCTATGGTCTAGGTTGTACAGCGTATTCGATTAGCAAACTTTGTGTTTCTTTCATTTTCTGTGGAGCTCATGACTTTAAAAATATGAGTGGCTGCTTTGTCACAAAATAGTTAGCCAATGAACGTTTACATTTTTTACATTAGCGCACACACTTTATGCAGAATAAAAGAAACACTTTAAATGAGTTTTAAGTTCCCTCTCTAAATAACTGCAAAAACGAAAGCAACTCTCTTAGCACTTGGTTGGTAAACATGTTATCTTTCCTCTTTTCTGCTTTTAAATTAGAAGCTCGGTGGGTTGTCTAAACATGGGAAGTTAAAAATTTGTGAAATTGTGCTGCTTTTGTATAGTAGTGAAAGTGATACGAAATTTAAAAATTAAAAACTTAAAAAAAAATAGAGTGAGGAATTTTGCTTAATAATAGCTGGCATAGGATAGGTAATTCCAAATCAAGATTGTTTGTTTATTGTATGTAACATGTTGCTGTTACTGTTTATTAGTACAAATTAAAATCATAATATGAATTTGCTCTTCTGCCTGTTCTGTACTTATTATTTTTAAGATACATTTCTGCATTATTTGCTTTTTTTTAACTGTCATGATTTATATGATTCTTAAGATCTTGTCTTAAAGCTTTCAACCTTTTTTATTGCTGAACTGAACCAAAGCCAACTTTCTGATTCTAATGTTCTACAAATTTTTTTACTAAAAAGATATTTTTAAAAAACCTATGCAGTAGCTTAAATGAAATTTACAACTGAGTTTATTTATAATCTTCCTTTGATATTTATACTTGTGAAAAAGGATATTTGCATTACTTTTAATAAGTAGGTATTCTGTAACTTATATTACATCTCCATGCTAATACTAAGACCGTACAATTTAATTTTGTAATAGATTTATTGTTGTTTTTTAATTTTAGGTTTTGTTTTGGTGCTGCAGCAACTCAGTTTTGGATATACTTGTACTGGTAGACTCCAGGTAGGTGATAATTCAATTTTCTAGAAAATAAATTTGGCTTAATTTTTTCTCTGCTTCCGATATACCTACCATTTTTGGAAAATGGATTTGCGAGTGGCATTTGAAATAAAATACGAAAGAATTTGTAATACATATTTATTTCCCATCTTTTGGACCCTATACAATTTATAGCTAAGTACGTTGTCAGGTAATACAATCTTTGTTATGGAATGCTTCTTTCTGAAATAGAGGGGCAAGATGGTGGGGTGGGTTATACAATTATCTGACTAGTATCAACAATAACTGACCTCCGCGAGGTCGGTACCCAATATGTTGCTCAGTTGTACTTATATTTCTAGACCAACAATTTCAACACATTTTTTTACATTAAACTAAGTTACGACGCCTACTTGTTTCATTAGTACAATAAAGATATGCATTCCCCGCTCGATTGACAGGACTACTAAGGCTAGGTATGGGGACGCCGGGTCCCCACTGATTGCTTGCTGGTTACAAGACATGCTACTCAGCAGCTGCTTACAAACCTGCCACATCCATATTATACACGGTATGTAGCGTCAGACGTACGGCAAATAAACCACCAAAATTAGACGCTACCTTTAAAGCTTCGCACGAACAACTTCGAACTGCGTGAACATGTTGGATAGTACGTGTGGAGGTCACAGTGTAAATAGATGCCTTTACTTCAATTTTTTATATTTAAAAATCGCTTCGAATGGCCTACATTTCTTTTATTTTATTTTTGTAGTAATATAAAGTAGTTCATTATATTTTTATCGCAAAATTTGGTGCCTGTGTGTTTTCCTGCCATTTATAAAATTGTGATATTTCAGAAAAAGGTAACAATATTGTTAGACATAAATCCCTCTTTTTCTTAAATTGTTGTTTTTTAATGATCAATCTATATTTTTCAAAATTGTACATTTTTTATCGAAAACATACAATAAAATAAATACTGTTAATTTCTAGGGAAATAAACATAGTATTACGATGATTTTCTGTTAAAAAATTCTGCTGCTAACTTCATAGTAAAAAATATAGAATGATCAAATATCAAGTGTTCATTGTTTTATTTATCGATCGATTTAATTTGTATTTTTTTTTTGAATAGAGCTTAAAAAAATTCTACTATTTAATAAATGAATTCATTTTCAGTTATCAAAGCCTACTTTTCATTATTTTTCGGTATCAAATTTAACAAAAATTGATTGGCAAATGTTTTATTTAAAGTCTTATTGTCCCACTAGATTCTGCATCTCCTCAGTGCAGTTTTTATCAAATATCGTGAAAAAATATTCATTGCTTATTGTAAAATTAATATTAAAGGTTTCATCAGTTCGATTCCTCCTAAATGGAACAAGTAAAATGCTCATTAATGTGTTTTTCTTAAATGCAAAGTTGCAAATAAAACAATTAAGGTTTATGGTACATTATTTGTATCAGTTTTGGATATTCGTATTACGTACGCACTAAAATTTATTGGTTAGTTTGGAACTGCATAAATCCATAGGTTGTTCATCCTATTTAGGAAGAACGGAAAATGATAAAAACCTTTAATATTAATTTTGCAATAAGTAATAATCAGCTTTTCTTGAAATTTTGTAAGAAGTACATTGAGATGGTACAGAATCCAGTGGTGTCAGATTTTAAATAAAAAATCGCTAGCCAATTTTTGTCTAATTTGACACCGAAAAAAAATATTCAAAGTATGCTTTAATAACTAAAAATAAATTCAAACCATTTGTGATTTAATAGACTCTTTTAAGGTTCACAGTTTAGAAAAAAAAAAACCCAAGTTAAATCAGTCGATAAATACCGGTATATTCCCGTTCACACGAATTCTAAGTAGCTTAGAGTTTAAGGGCATCAATTTAAGTTTTGGCTCGGCCAAACGCATGGTGATATATTTACCGCACTGTATATTTTTAAGAATTATTTCTCTTATAATAATATTTGTAAATTCATATTCATATCTTAAATATTATCAAATCTTTTATTACATTATTAATTGCTAAAATTTAAGATGTCACTTGACAAGGGGCACAGATCATGATATGTTTAGAAAGTGGTGTTTATTATTATAAACCTATTACCTAAAGCAGAGAAGGCGATTGTGGCTAGTTTATAATACCGTTAATAAGTTTATCACATCATTTATAAATTCGTAGCTCTCACTTCCCAACAGAAACTACAAAAAAATATATATTTATATCTAGTCATGTCAAGTGAAGTGATTGATAATAGCTGCAAGGAGACGAGTGTAATGAAATGCATAGAAAAAATTTAATGCGTTGACTTTGCAAAATTTGACGATTAACATTGCTTTCTCTACACTTTGCTCTACATCCCCACAAAATGGTATTCCTGCAAATCAAGACTGCAGTAAGATAATCGAGTCCTAAAAGGACAAACTGATTTTAAAATCTGTATTTAGTAGATTAACAGCGTCTCAACGGAGGGTAAAACTATTGGGTAGTGACAGCCGGATAAAATATTTCCCACAATTTTATAAGAACATATAATTTCACACATAACTTTTAAGATAAAAAACACAGTTACAAGACGACATTCAAAGGTCGGATTGCATATAACAGGTATTATAATTTATCAATTAATTAAGCTGATATGTTTTATATAGTCCCCAAAAACAGCTGGTTGTCCAGCCTGATCACCTAGATCCGCACCCACCATACCCACGCTCTCATTGAGCTGCAACATGCCCTAGGACATGTTTTGGACGGAAACGAGACGCAGAACAACCGCCCGTCACTGTTCACGTTCGGTCGTTTTCCCAAGAAAGAAAAACCGCCGTCGCGTGAGCAGGGAAGGCGAGTCGTTTATATCTGCATTTTAGCACCGGGGCACAGGATCAGCACCAGGAATTAACGAAACAACCTAAACCGAACAAAAGGGAAATTAGTAAAAGATCAGCTGTATATATCGCTTATGTGGTCCCTTGTTTAACAGCAGCACTATTATTACACCGAGTTTTGAGCTTTCTTGTAATTTCATTTGTCAAAGTTTGAATTTAAGTAATCGAAGTATAACTTCCCGCACTGCCTTTTTTTGCTTGACGTTTTCCGAAAAGGTTGCATGTTTAATTATTGCTGCACTTTAATTGACATTAAGAGCCCAAAAAGCACCCCGTATTAAGTTCTTTAATGACCACATTCAAGTTTGTCCCTGTATTTGTGAGAAACTGTATTTAATACGAACGTATGGACGTGTTGCTGAGCGTGCGCCCCGGGAACTGCCTATTTTGGGAGCTTGTCCCAACCTAAAGTACAACTACAATGATAGTAATAGATATATCACATAAACTTCACACGAAAAGCACTACAACACTATTTTGAATATAATCTACGTAATAGAGAATTACCAATGTTTTAACATTATACATTTTCGACTGATGTATCAGCAGTTAGTATGGTTGTAAAAAATTATAAAATTATATAAAAATAATACATTGACGTTATTAATAATAATATAAAATACAACTTGTCTTAAATAAATATATTAATATATTAAGGTTTACCTAAATTAAACTTTGGTTAACCAATTGTTATGTACCCATATTAAATCTTGATCTCGGACTTTTATTTCTGGGAATATTTCTCACATAATTTAGAATTTCATAATTGACGGCTGTGTCGAGAATGATTGTGCTACGTGATCACTCTGAAAATACGAATTCAATTATTGTTGTGCTCTAACAGACGATAATATAGGTACATAAGTCCTTGTATGAAAGGTACAATAAAATATTAACTGATGCTAAACTTCAAAATATTATAGTTTCTCTAGCTACAAACTATAAAATTTCTCTAGGTTTTTTTTTTATACACTTCATGCATTTTTATAATTGCAAGATAACAAATGCTCATATTACTATTAAGGTATCTATAAGTAAGCAAAAGCTCATCTATATTAAATTTAATGTTATCAAAAATTAATGTTTGAAAATAAAGAGTTCTTTTCCTTAACTCTTAGTTACTTTTTAATTACAAGTATTAAAATGGGCAGAGTGATTCAGTAAAATGTTGAAAAATTTCATCCGTAGAGGGAATAATTTTTTTCACTTCCATGACTGGTGTTGCAAAGCTACAGTTTTAATGATATGTTTTAATTTGTTTTAGCGTTACACACCACGCATGTCAAGTGTGTCTCGTCATTGGTTTATTGCTATAATTTAAACAAAATATATTAAATTAAATACTTTAAGACAATCTATCATCACCACTTTGTAAAGTAAGCTTTGACAAAAGAAACAGAGTCGGTACGTAGAGATCCCGGAAAAGTGGAACGACAATGCCGTTCCAGGGGAACGTCCACCTACCAAAAAATTCAATAAAATCTAAAACTTAACTTTTAGGGCACCTTTGGTTTAGCTTATCTTCATTTATCTCATTAAGAAATGAAGTACTCAAGCAATCTGATCAAATTTTTTTGATACAGTTCACCTATACTTATCACGAAGTTACTGTCCTGTAATCATCTAAACAGTACAACTACAACAGTTAACAGAGATAGATTAAGTTTTCTCTAGAGATGTCGATAACAGCCTGTGGCCTGGACTACCCTAGCAATGCCCAGCCATCACCATCGCTCTCTGTCAAGTACTGAGGGGCATGTAAGAGTTAAGATTGTCCATTTTCTTCTCCTTTTGTTCCCTAAAAACACACCGTGTAAGTTATCGGGGTCCACATGTGAACCAAAACTGAAGGGACGGAGAAACCCACTATGATCTCGTTTTGATAATCTGGTGTAGCATGTTTGAAAACAAAAAAGCTATTCACTTTCATCTTGTTAGGTATATGTTATGTTTTATTTTCAGAAAGAAAAGAAAACATTCAAGTTTTTATATTGTTTTTACATTTTCCTAAATGTACTATTTTTTTAGTTTATTATTGACAGTTGCATATCAAAATTTTTTTATTGTATTATTTTTAATAGTACTGGTCGGTTTGTGAAACTGAACTGCTATTTTTGAAAATACAACAACTAGAAATCTGTTTTACTTTTACCAAATTTTAATGTGATGAATTGATGAAGAAATTGACCGATTTGTAGTATGATATCATGTTAATTCAAACAAATCCAATTTTTTTAATGCATCATATTAAATTAAATCAAATAATGGTTTTCAAAACCAAAAGAGAAATCGAATCCTACAGATAAAATTCCTAATTATTTCAAATTGTAATTTTTTCAAAAAGTTTGTTGTTTATAACAAATTTAAACATAGGTAAACCATAATTAATACACCTTTAATAATCTTGATGTCCGTAAAAAGTGTGATTTTATGTTATAATAGTACTAAAAGTACATGTATATGGTTATTTAATGTTTAAGTTTCGGAAAAAGTTTCCTAATAAAGTTGTATGGTTCTTCGAAAAATGTATATATGAAAAAAATTAACAATTGAACATCGCGAATATGATAATATATATGAGGCATTCCACGCCAAATCGGACGGTTCGAAAAATTTAAATTTTCGATTTCCTTAATTTTTTTTATATTTTTAGTACCCCTCAAAAAATCCTTTCTGGTAAATTTTCAGATTTTTTTGATTACTTGTTCAAATGTTATAAAATTTTTAAAAAAAACGCTCTTTTTTGGTTTTTTGGTCATAACTTTCTTAATAATGGTCCAAATTAAAGCTTTTTTTTATAAAAATCTTTGTTTTTAGATGGCCTTTACAGATAAAAATACAAAAAAAATATTCAAAGTGTTTTTGATTAAGATTTTTGAGTTTGAAATTTTAAATCGTATTTTTGAAAGTNTCTGAAAATTTAGTAAAAAAATGTTTATTTTTTATTTAAAAAAATATACCTAATTATGTTATACCTTTGCTTCAGTATCAGTAATTTTTCTGGTTATGATTTTTTAGTTTGTATTGACACTGTGGACGTACTAAACTGCACCCTGTCATCTATATATTATAAAATTTACATTAAGTAGCAATGAGAGAAAACTGAGAATAATTGAATTAACACAATAAATTGATAAGCCTGATCTAGAAAAAACTGTTGACGCAAATATGATACGTTTATATTTTTGAAATCGTAATAACTTATAAATTTCGAAAATCTAAAAAATGCAGATTGTTCCATTTAAAAAATAAATAAATTTTATATTGAAATAATATAGCATGAGATGTTTATTTTTTTTCACTAAAACGGAAAGCGAATTTTGGAAGTCACTAAATAAAGATCATTTTTGGTGGGGGACCCTGTACCAGGTTGGTATAGTATAGAAAATAATCAAGTAACAAATTTATCGTCGACGTTGCGTCCCTTTATTGAGACATCGTCAGGATTGTTAAATGAAACAATAACGATACACATGTTATACAGAAATTAAAAAAAAAATTATATAAGAGCACTAATATATTATACGAATACGAATGTAAAATAGTAAATAATTAAAATTAATACTATTTACACAAGTAATAAAAGTAATTAGTTTAACAGAATTCACTGTTATTCACAATTCTACTTTTGTATCAATTTGACCTTTTTTTACTTATTTGATTTTAAATATTTTAATATAAACTCAACAAAAAAATTTAAGGCGCAGAAAAATTTCCAATTTTTTTTTTTTTCAAAACTGCATATGGGCTCAAAAATTTTTTTACTGGCTCAATTAATGCCAGGGTTATTTAGTCTGATGTATCAGCTTCAATTTCTTTTTTTTTTCGGAAAAAAATCAGATTTTTCTAAATTTTTAAAAATATATTTTCGTCCACTTTTTTACAGTTTTACATTGAATTTAATTAAAATGTCGAATTTTTTTTTTAATTAAAAAAAGTTGACAAATTTTATTTTTTTCAAAATTTTGAATTTTTTTAAAAATATTTGATGAGTATTTAACGCGAAACTGTGAGAAATATAACGCAAAAAAATTTGTTTCATCTTAATCATTAATTGATGTTTAAGAAGCAATCAACCTGCTCCTTAAAGGAAAAAAAGGATATGAACAATATTAAAGAAGTTAGTCTTTTAAAAGTCACCAAAAAAATTTTTTTTGCTAAGTGTAATATTGGTTTTATATAATTTGTTTTGTAATTTCTGTGTAAGATGTATATCCTTTTTGTTTTATTTATGTGTCCTGAAGATGTCTCAACGAAACGTCAATATTAAAAAAATTTGTGATTTTTTAAATTCCCATTTGGTCAGAAACCTCACCACTGACTATAGTAATCTGGTTACTAATTGTATAATTTAACAACTAATTACTTCCGAGCTAATTTCTGTGAATAGCCAAAAAAAAAGTATACCTACATCGTTTATCAGATAAAATTTTAGAGATCTGTAGGGGTTACCTCCTTTCAGTTTAAATTCACGCTAGCGGGCCACAACGACACTATTTGTAATCGTTAGTAAAAGTGCTAGAAGAAGAATATAAACACACAACAAGAGAAGACAGAACGAAATATGAAAAAAAAAATGAATGACACATTCTAAGGCAAAGGCAAAGTAAACCGACCTCTGCAGCCATTTTGCTTTTGGCGTATTCGATACGGATGGGGCCGCGATCTGAGGAGAGTAGGAAGGAGCCCTGCAGCGCACCCATAACTTGTGCGGCGTAGCGCACATCCTGGTATTCCATGAAGGCGACCGGGGATCCACCCTTGTTGTGCATGCGCAGGCGGCAGAAGCCGGGGAAGCTGTGCACAAGAACACCACAGGTGCTGCTCAGTGTGTTGGGCACTACGGTTCAGTGTTGCCAGGTTGCCAGGGAGGTTTTTGGTTCGGGAAAAGGTGCTGAGGCTAGGATGAAATACTGTTCTATGTTTATCGATTGGCTGGTTAAACGTATAAAGACCTAGGGACTTATTAGGTACTTTACAAAGAGCAGTGCCATCTATCGTCGTTTGATGTAATTACAAAACGTTGACCAAAATTATAGATACCGCTAATATTTAGGTCCAATTTTTAGTTGCCATTGAGCAACCCGACAGGTAGAAGACACACTGATTTTTTTTCGCATAATTAACGTTAACTCAAGGTTAAAACCGCTATAACCTCAAATTTACAACCTACTTCAAATATGAAATAACACCCAAAATGTTATAATAAACTCGTATCAGTCGTATCATCCACAACAATTGCATACAGAATTACTTTTAATCGTCTTTTTTGCAATAACGGACAAGCAGACTTCTGTTATTTACGACTAGAGACTGAGAACCACAATTAGTGACGTCAGTAGGCATTGACGCGTCAAATATGGTTTTATATATTAATTGAGAATCATAGGTTGTAATGGTACAGGGCAATCTCCCAATGATAATAAATAGGCACTGAATTTAATGAAATTATTTCGAAATTTCTGCTGTTACGCTAAGCTTGCTTAATTTGGGAGTTCTACAGTAAATTAAGAACATATTAAATGTTTTTATTTCAATTTGTATTAGGTACAAATATTTGAAGTTTTAAGGACCATCAATTTCATTTCTTTTGTCGGTTTATCATGAGTCCCAAAACTAGTCAGGGATTTTTAGTGACACAGGCTGGGGTGTCAGGGGGAGTGACCGTTAACATGGCAACACTGCACTACTACTAACTACAGGGTGTGCGAGGGTACACATACATAATGTTTGAGTGCGTATTAGATCAGAGCAGAGACCCTCACCACGTTAGTAAACATAGAGATCATGCGGCACCAAAAAATAATGGGAGAAAGTGGACGGAGGTGCTCGCGTATCATCATCACCAGTACTTTAACAATCTGAACGCATGTGACTGACAAAACTACTGGCCTGAGAAAAAATGTCGTTTCTGTTACCACGACCGCAGCGCGAGGTGTAGAGATAAGTGTGGTGAGAAATATATTTTTGTTTATCTTTCAGAGTGAGTGTAATGTATTTATTTTAATATATGGTGAACCTCAGAGTTCAGTTCTAAACCCTCCACTGTTTATTCGACATATAAACGATTACGGATTATATGTTTGCTTCGGGCAATTGAGTATCGCTCTATCGCTTACCGCTACACCTTGTGCCGCTAGTTAAATCCGAAACTGAATCGATTTTGACTTGAAATGTTGGAATAAACGTGACTGAATGCACTTGCGTGCGAAGGGACAAACCTGGCGAATATCTCCTTGAGCTCGTGCTCGGACACGAACTGCCCCAGGTTGGCCACGAAGAGCGTGGAACAAGGCGGGTTGCTTACTCCCATTCCAGGTTGTGAGGAGGACGATCCCACGGGAGAAGCCAAGGCAGGACTTGGTAGAAAGTGTGGCAATGACGCGGCATGCACTGATGTTAGAGCAGTTGGGTGCGGCATCGACATCGGGGGCTGAAAAACCAAAAATAGAATCAGTACATTGTAAAAACATTTTTATATATTTTCATTTCCAAGATCAGTCTGATGAGAAGCGAATTGGAATTAGGTATGGCACGAGTCTTTACCACGTAGATCATGTAGGGTCAACGTCTTACACGTGACGTCACGTCAGTGGTGATGAATGTTATAAGCTTAAAAAGTTGTATAAACAACGAAACTATTTTTGAAAAGTGATACATTTTCAAATAATTTAAATATTGCTCTTAAAGGCTGACAAAACTACGGTATGACGTCACTGAACAATAGCACATCGAGGCCTTGTACTCCTATTAGAATTGGTTACGCATAAGCTGTAAAAAAGTTTACTAAATCACATGCATTATATTACATAAAAATCTAAACACTATTAGTCCAAGCATTCTGTCATGGAATAATGTTAAATTTGCAGAAATTATTACCTGGACAAAAAAAAATATGACCGTATAGAAAATTAAATTTTACATTGAGTTTCTTGTTATTTAAACTCGATCCAAAATGGCGAACATGGTTAAAAAAAATCGCAAAGTTGCAAAAAAAAAGGTTTTTCTAAAATAACTAAAAATATAGCACCGATTGAAAAATTTTATATGAGAAAGTTGTAGGTTTTAAAAAGATATATCAACTGATTTTTTGTAAGTATCGATTGCTTTGTTACTTTTCGAGATATATAGAAAAAACTCATTTAAAATCTTCTCTTTTCTCTTCTTCTATAACTCGTTTACATTTACGTACCCATATTTGCTATTTACTGCAAGCATAGCCCACGGCAAGCCAAAAAAGTACATTTTTGAAAAATTTAAAAATATTAATTATTTTTCGAGATATATCGATTTTTTGAAAAAAAGGCGTTCTCGAAAATTGGCTAGATCTTCTCAGCAGATAGCCCTACAGTAACGATTTTCGGTTAATTTTCTTCGTGAAGAGTTATATTATCATGCTGTTAAACAATTTTTACGATTTTTTTAATTTTAAGGATAAAAAAATGACTGAAAAAGTTGCACTTTTTTTTGGGTATGTTTTTTCAAATAACTATTTCAATTTTTATTTTATGAAAATGACTTTTAAAGAAAGAAACTGCTGACATTTTTTCACGAATTTAAAAAAAGTGTTTTTCTACGACCTTCTGGAGCCGAGATAATTTTTTTATTTAAAAAAAATTTTGAGGACGCAATTAACATTTTACAACGATCCGCTTGATGGAGGTTAATATTGATTACTTATATTTTTTTAAAAAATAGTAGAATATGTTTACTTGATTTTTAGTATTAATAAACTGAAGCGTGCAAGCGCTGAGTGCGTCAGCTGGTCCGGACGGAGAAGTAGGGGGAAGCGGCGCGCGCTCGCTCTGAAAACTGATGACGTGGAGACCGTGGAGTCTAAATGGCTCGCGCTTGCAAAATCTTTGATATCTCGGCTTCTGGACCACATACAAACATTATTTTGTGCTTAATCTGGGGTAACTAAACACGAATATTATAGTCATTTTCGCCTTAGAATTAAAATAGTCCCGTAAATGTTTAGTTTTTGTTTAACTTATATATATTTTTTCTTTTATTATACTTCTTCACGAAAATATGGACGACGAACAAGAAACTGAATCAAAAGACAATCCGACAAAGAAAATATAGGATACTTGTTAGTTTTCATTGTAATAATTTTATAGATATTTTATACATAGTTGTATAATTATTAAATATTTTTGTAAATAAATTAAATTCTTTAAACTTATTTTACACCAAAATTAATTAATTATTGAAATGATGAAGTAATTGTTAAAAAGCCAGCAACAAGTACAACGTCAGTATGATTAATGAAGCAAAAAAAATAAGGTATTAGGTACACGAAAACTACTGTATACAGTAAACTAAACATTTACGGGACTATTTTGCTTCTAAGGCGAAAAAGACTATAATATTCGTGTTTACTACCCCAGATTAAGTACAAAAGAATATTTGTATGTGGTCCAGAAGCCGAGATATCAAAGATTTTGCAAGCGCGAGCCATTTAGACTCCACGTCATCAGTTTTCAGAGCGAGCGCGCGCCGCTTCCCCCTACTTCTCCGTCCGGTCCAGCTGACGCACTCAGCGCTTGCACGCTTCAGTTTATTACTCAATTACTAATACTAAAAATCAAGTAAACATATCCTATTTTAAAAAAAAATATAAGTATTCAATATTAATCTCCATCAAGCGGATCGCTGTAAAATGTTAATTGCGTCCTCAAATTTTTTTTTAAATAAAAAAATTATCTCGGCTCCAGAAGGTCGTAGAAAAACATTTTTTTTTTAAATTCGTGAAAAAATGTCAGCAGTTTCTTTCTTTAAAAGTCATTTCCATAAAATAAAAATTGAAATAGTTATTTGAAAAAAACATACTCAAAAAAAGTGCAACTTTTTCAGTCATTTTTTGATCCTTAAAATTAATAAAACCGTCAACATTTTTTAACAGCATGATAATATAACTCTTCACGAAGAAAATAAACCGAAAATCGTTACTGTAGGGCAATCCGCTGAGAAGATCTAGCCAATTTTCGAGAGCGCCTTTTTTTCAAAAAATCGATATATCTCGAAAAATAATTAATATTTTTAAATTTTTCAAAAATGTACTTTTTTGTCTTGCCGCGGGCTATGCTTGCAGTAAATAGCAAATATGGGCACGTAAATGTAAACGAGTTATAGAAGAGAAAAGAGAAGATTTTTAACGGTTTTTTCGATATATCTCGAAAAGTAACAAAGCAATCGATACAAAACATCAGTCGATAGACCTTTTTAAAACCTACAACTTTCTCAATTAAAATTTTTCAATCAGTGCTATATTTTTTTAGTTAGTTTAGAAAAACCGTTTTTTGCAACTGCGATTTTTTTTTTAACCATGCCATTTTGGATCGAGTTTTAAGAACAAGAAATTAAATTTAAAATTTAATTTTGTATACGGTCATATTTTTTTTGTCCAGGTAATAATTTAAATAAGCATTTCTCTATAATGCTTGGACTATATTGACTTTCCACCTTTTCGTGAAGATATTCGGTCGCCATCAAACTGATCCCAGCTGAACACCAAACCGATGACGACGCCTGCCCTCCTCAGCGGAACATATTCGAGCTTATCCATTATTACGACGGTATCTGGCATCTGAGGAGGCTGCGGCGTTAACATCAGCCATTATAGACCAAAATCCAGACTATCAGAATTATCATCACAATCACGCAGTACTACAATTATACTCAACAATAATTCAAAGCCAGATTCACTATTAATTACGGGGTCCGTGTTATATGGGCCTTGGGTTAATAATACAGTGCGTTTCCAAAAGTTTAAGATCCAGTGCCTTAATTAAGGGTTATTCAGCCCAAAAGCTTCGGAACGACGCGACGTAATTTGTATGCCGAGTTTGGGAGAAGCCTGGGAACTTCGCTGATAGCAGAGCGGACAGGAATCGTGCCGTCGACGATCTTGATAATTCTTTTAATTGCATGCTGATTTGACTACCAAAATTTATATTTTTAAAGTTGTTTTTAATGAAATGTGCTTCCGATTTCGTGATTAGATATCATTTTCTAATGCGGGACAAAGACAAAAGCTCTTATTTAATAATTAAAAAAATAATAATAAACATCTTTTTACCATCAGTAAAAGTGATACATATCGCAAAGCTTAGATAGTTGCAAAAGCGAATTTATAACAGCAAATGTTATGTGAGTAATAAAAAAATCTTACCTTCTCAACTATGTGTCAATCAGTGTAGCATAATGATAAAGTTAATGATGTGATCTTGTAAAAATACAAAAAATTAAAGTCTTGATGTGATAATCTCACTTGATTTAGCAAATAGTCGAATTTGAACAGTTGGGAAACCCAACTTGTTTGGTGACTTCTACAAATTGTAGTCCATTAATTTCTGTCTCATTTTTAAATGTTAATCCTTAAAAAATGTGATGATATTTCATCTTGGCAAGCTCCAAAATCAATTTTTGCAATTGCGACCACACATAGCTTTACGCCAGCTGTGTTTGCTGTGCTCCTAGCTATGTGTATGAAAAATAGCCACCATTATTGTTTTAAATAAATAACGAAGCAGATTTGTATTTTGGTTATAGTTTTAAAACTCAACCGTCGCTGATGACGAGCGTCATTATACAACAGTCCAGTGTTTTTTTATATAAAAAAGAGCATTCAATTTAAGTTGGCGCATTTCTACAGGGTGTATTATAGAACAAAACTCTGTACGAACGGAATTATAAACAACTTAAATGAGCATCGAGGATTTTATTAAATATTAACGATTTTTCACCTTATTGGTCAACTTGCAGTTTTGTACAGAAAATACAGAATTATACTTATTTTTCAATTCTTTCTCACGATAAAACCAATGATTATTTTGAGCTCCAAATTTTTATACATACTCTTTGGAGTCTCAACTATCAATCCCCATTAACAATTTTTCGATTTTATCCATTTTAGCAACAATTAGAATTTTTTCAAAATTTCTTCGAAAAAATACTTATAAACATTTAGAGCTGGAGCTACCGTATTTCTTCAAATGTAATTATATGGTCAAATAGAGGAAGGATTGACGAACAAAATCCACTTTTGATCTTGTGGATACGATGAATCGTTAAAATACATTTACGATTTTAAACAAATTTTCATAGTTATAAAGTATTTGCTTCAAACAATCAAAATCACTAGATTGTTATTGTACAGTACGTTGTTTTGCCGTAAACTCACTTCAACTTTGAGCTTTCATATCTCGATGACGATTCATCGTATCCACAAGATCAAAAGCGGATTTTGTTCGACAATCCCAAGAAATTTAGAAAAAATTCTAATTGTTGCTAAAATGGATAAAATCGAAAATTTTTAAATTGATTGGATTGAAAGTTGAGACTCCAAAGGGTATGTATAAAAATTGGGAGATCAAAATAATCATTGGTTTTACCGTGAGAGAGAATTGAAAAATAGGTATAATTCTGTATTTTCTTAATTAACAATAGAATTGTGCGAAATCTACCTGGCCGATTTCGATGAAGAAATTTCTGCAAAACTACCATATCATGAAGTACTTAGAACCATACTTTTTATATGACTGCCCTAAAGTCAAGGTCCGAAATAAATTTATGAAAACAACATCTTTTTTCACGATTTTTTTTTCGGTCTATACTGTATTGCAGCAACAAGAATGCACATAAAAATTTCGGAACACTTTTATTTTGAAGAGAATCTCAAAACGAAACTTTTTTCCTTTGACTGTTTTCTCTAATGTCAATATTCTCCGAGTTATACATGAAAGAAGGGAGGAAAATGCGCCTTTTAATTTTTTTTTACATTTTCTTGCGCTACCAATTACGCACAACTTTTTCAGCGGGCGCATATCGCAATTATCATTTTAGCGTTACTATATGAAACATCCATACAACCTACTTTTAAAACAGATACCGACTGGACTATAAATGCTCTAACATCAACGTAATTATGTTTTAATAAATTTGTTTCTAGATATTCTTATATTCACTTTATTGTTGCATTTGAGCAACCCTTGTGATCAACCATGTTTTAAAAATCTAGCCGAAAAGTAAATCCATAAAAACACAGCCAATCTGTTTTTAAGCAATAGCATTCTGTGTGGTCCTGGAATTAACTGTTATTTATTTCATGTTCTAAAATCAATAATTGAGAGAAAAAGTAGTATTTTTTTTTCAAGAAATGTCTTGTCGGCGCAGATAAAGAAGAAACTCCTCAGAAACAGTGACAACGATCTTGTCTTTGACCTTAATAGTGTAGAACAGGTACATTATGTGCAATGTTGTGCATATCGATGTTCACCGTTCGACAATGAGCTCCGGTGCTTGTCTGGTAACACTCATCTAAAACGCGGACAAGATGAATTTGATCAAGCTGTATGGTATATAACACAGAAGATATAGCAAATTTTATATACAGCATACCTCCGGATAGGCGAAACAATTATTGTAAGGCAAAAGAAACTTTTTTTTATATTATTCATATTCTATACAGAATTGACACTTTACGAATGAATAAAATAAGATTTCTCTAAGGCTTACTGGATTTTGCGAATTTGAAATCATCGCAGATTTTGTTTGTATACCACGTTGTATGTTTATATATCAGTTTACGGTATAAAATTTGTTACACTTGTATATTTTACGATACAGCATCGAATTTAAGTCGATTAGATGTCGGTTAAGTCACACTAACCGTTAAGTTTTAATTAATTTTTGTCGCCGAGTTCATTTTAAATGGTAGTATCTGCGACGGGTGCAACTAGCGTGAAGTGAACGTATACAAAAAAAAAAAAACGCTCGGTGTAGGCATGTGGCGGTGGAAACTTAAACTTTCGGAGTGCCCTGGCAGGGTGGTGGTGAGGGGTGGTGTGCTGTCGTGTCTGCCTGAATCTGCCTGAATGGTAAAAAAAGTAAAATAAAACTAACGTGGTGATGGACTGGGGCGCCTGCTTGTTGCAGCTGAGAGTCCAGAGTTTTGTCTGTAGATAGTCAAAGATAGGAACGTACGGGGACCTGCGGGTGCAGCGCCGGGTGGACGATGGTGGCGTGCTGGAGCGCCGCTCCGGGCAGCTCGGCCGCCGCTGAATACGCCAACGGATGATGCCACAGTTCCGGGCCACCCGGAAAGAACGGGGTTCCCAGATCTGAAAAGTACACTTAATTAACATAAGGATCGGCTCTTGGGCGGACTTAAGTCTAAGCAATATTTTGTTTTGTAAATTTTTTCGTGTTAATATTTTTTTCTTTGGAAACTACTGAGGAACGGACAATTTTTTTTAAGTATAAGGTGGTCTAGGAATCATACTCTGATTTTAAGGGAAAAAATCTGGTAACGAATATGGCCAAAATAAGTTGCTTTAAAATATTTTTAACTAGGTATTTAACCTAAAAGGCGTATTTGCTATGATATTACTAAAAAATCATTATTTCCAAATATTAAAAAAACAAATATTTTAATATTAGCTCTCAAATTTTTTTACTCTATTCTACAGGTTTTACTTTTCCGGATTTTTGAGTTCAAATCCGACCTCACAATTACTCCATTACGTCATGTTTTCGAGATATCCTAACCTAAAAGTGTGAAAAACTCAGTTCTTTAGGTTTTGGCGGCATATTTGTTAATATATTTTTTACCTCAAAATCGTTGCATAAATATAGAAATATAGCCGCGCCGCAACTGATCATACTGTATATAGGATGCCCAGAAATTATGAGCAAAAAATTAAGGGGATGATTTATTCGTATAATGAAGTAATATAACTTCAAAATTAATTTGTTTTAATAATTTCTTTTTAGTCCAATATGTTTTCTTCAATTTGGTTCATTGTTTACCGTTAACAAACTACACGTACTAAGAAAACTCATCAAAATTCTATAGACAAAAAATGTACATATGGCTCTTTTCTTCAAGACAATTGATCATAACTTTTTTTATTTACTTTGCGGATTTTCAAAAAATTAAACAATTTCTACTAAAGATAAAAAATGTTGCAAACAGGCCCTTTTTTCTAAGTCGACCACATCAAGATTCCGTTAATCTTCTGCAAAAAATTAAGGGAGCAAAAAAATTTTTCGAATTTCTAGTGATTTTTCAGAATGCTGTATCTCAGTTAAAAATGATCGTATCAAGGTTTTAAAAAAGCATTTTAAAGCGCCGAATGTCTAGTTTCCAGATTTCTCAGCTCAAAATTTTTAGGAGCGACAGTTATCGCGAAATTCTAAAAAATAAGACTAAAATTTTTTTTTTAAATTTGTTGCGGTTTTTTTCTCGGTCCACGGGCTTGGAAAAATTTTTTACACAAAAATCATGATATGGAATTGATAGCCTGTTCATTCAGCTTTAATTTCTTTTTTAAATTTTTCTCTACGTTAATTTGACCCCGAGATATTCGACTACGAATACAAAAGCATCCTTTTGACTTTAACCATCGATATCTCAGCAACTAATAATCAGACAGAAAATTGACGGGCAATTTCGAAATCTGGAATAAATTTCCTACAAGGCTATGTAGCGTTCTTGGAAGAAAAAAATTTTCTTTCATCCTCGACATTAACTTGAAAAAAGTGAAAAAAGTGACTTTTTGACTTGTTTTGCTAAGTCCACCGCATCTTTGCTAATATCGATGGAGAGTCTAATGCTTGTACGAATTTTTACACCTCGATGTACCCCCAAAAGATCCGTAAATGGGCAGATCGATCTATCGAACGGTTTTTCCGGACCGCTTAATCAAAATTTCAGAAAAATTTAAATGAGCAAAATTTACATTTCTGAGCACCCTGTAACGTTTGTAAAACTGAAAAATTTGTTTTTTTGTTAATTCTTTTACAATTGGGCATTTTTTGCTCATTGAATTTGAAAAAAAAAATTAATTTTTGAAAAAAAAGCTTTTTTTAATTTTTCAAAATTTTTTGAAAATTTACTCTTCTTTATTTTTTAACAACTCGAGATAAAAATATTGAGTCATTTTTGAAGCGATGTACTCTTTCCGTACCGTAATTTCCTTTATTTTGAATTAACGAAATTGATTAAAAGTTGATAAAGAAAATAAAAATGATAAATGCCGTCTAGGCCTTACAAAAATTAAAAAAATTGAAGTCTACAAAAACTTTTGATTAATTTTTTTCACTAGAATTACAAAAAATATTGTTAGTTTTGAGAAAATCTGTTGGTTGGTTCCTTTGAATTGAATCAAAGAGAGTTTAAAAAAAACTGTTTTTTCACACTTGTTAGCTTCGTAAAAAAGTTTAGGATAATACGCACTATTTTTTCGCAGATCGAGGACTACACCAATCTTGGGGTATCAACTTTTAATCAATTTCGTTAATTCAAAATAAAGGAAATTACGGTACGGAAAGAGTACATCGCTTCAAAAATGACTCAATATTTTTATCCTGAGTTGTTAAAAAATAAAGGAGTAAATTTTCAAAAAAATTTTAAAAATTAAAAAAGCTTTTTTTTTCAAAAATTATTTATTTATTTTTTTCAAATTCATTGAGCAAAAAATGCCCAATTGTGAAAGAATTGACAAAAAATCAAATTTTTCATTTTTACGAACGTTACAGGGTGCTCAGAAATGTAAATTTTGCTCCTTTAAATTTTTCTGAAATTAAATGGAAAAAATTAAAAAAAAATTTTTTAGTCTTATTTCTTAGAATTTCGCGATGACTGTCGCTCCTAAAAATTTTGAGTTAAGAAATCTGGAAACTAGACATTCGGCGCTTTAAAATGCTTTTTTTTAAAACCTTGATACGATCATTTTTAATTGAGATGTACAGCATTCTGAAAAATGACTAAAAATTCGAAAAATTTTTTGCTCCCTTAATTTTTTGCAGAAGTTTAGTTCGCTATTAATAATAAGTGTACTAAATTTGAAAAAATAAATCCGTAATTGAAAAGAAAATTATCTCGATAAATGAATTAAATAAATTAAATTTTAGGGTATGTAACACCGTTAATATGAGGTTTCCAAAAAAGTATTACATTTACTTACATTTACCAAAGATCATATATATTATTTACTTACATTTTTTTATGAGCACATCCACCTCTTTTCATAATTTCCGAACATTTTGTGATTCCATATATATCAGTTGATATAACTAGTAAAATTATTTTCGAAAGTACAATACATCTTTTCGAATTTCCTATATACCCAATATATAGCGACTTTTAGCGACACTGGTAGTCAAAATTGAACATTGTTTTACTCAAAGTTGTTTGAAAAAAAAGTGCCATAAATTCAGAGGAACATCAAAAAATATTATGATTTTATTAAATCATATTTTGGCCATATCTCATTTAAGAAACAATGTATATAACTGAAACTTGGACTGTAGGATATTTATACATCGGAATTTTTATTTTTACACTATCTTTTAGATATATATCTTATTTGGGTTTAGGTTTTCTATATTGTATGTTATTTATTTTAATGGAAAACTTAACTTTCCATATCTGTAGGAAAATATCGTCCCATTTTTTGATGTTTAGGCTCTGAAAATATGACACCTTGCTCAAAACACTGGAATAGTAGTACCTAACTTCAGCAATTTTTATTAAATTTCAATAGACAGTGAAAAATCTCGCGATATTGCGGCTGACAGAATTGAAAACTGTATTACTTATATCTACTATTGTTTACAAAATTTTTATAGCAATATTTCCAAACACGCCTTTTTCAAAGTTAAATAACAATTAAAATAATTAAATAGTAATAACCTTGACTGTATTTTAAAGTACAAATAAAATTGTTTACGTAAAATACGTAATAATTTTTTCCATGTATTTTTAGGACTTCTATGAAGTTTTTATACTGGACATACATGGTGTACCTACATTACTACCTAGCATAAAGGTTCTTTTTAATTCACAAAATTATTTGAAAATTAATAGAATACCTCCCAAAAATATATTATTTCTTAAGGTGTGTGTGAATTTACTTTAGTGATAGTTAAAAATTTAACGTATCTTTCACTTTATTATTTTTTCAACAAATTAAAAAAATGCTATGTATGTAGATATTATCTATAAGAGTTTGTTTACAACCGATTTGGTAAATAAAGGTCAAAATATTTATTAAACGCTATCGTATGTACTGAAATATGGACCTTGATGTAATAGTATCATTAAAAAAATTAATTTACTACGGACATTAGTTTTTATCAAACTTGATTGAAAAACCACCTACTTCTGACTGTAAAATTGTAGTTAATCATAACTTCGCCTTGAACTAAATTGTAATTTTTTTAGGTAGTGCACTGTGAACTTCGTTAAATTGAGATTTACTATGAAAGTTTCAATTCAGTTTAATAAATAACCATATACCACCTTTGCAGACGTGACGAAGGCCTTTGCGTAGGTTTTGATAATCATTTTTTTTAAATTTAATATTAGCGAGCGATATACTGAGCTGTGATTTTTATATGGAAATTGATTGCAATTGATTTATTTTTAATTTATTTACAATAGATTGGCTTTAAAATAAGAAAAATCACATTATAATTTTAGTTCTTATGCGGACGATAAAGCTTTTGACAATTAACATTTTTTTGAGTGAAATAAATATTTTTAATTATTTATTCACTTGATATTTACCAAAAAAGAAAATACACGTGTTGATTAAATGATCTACCTTCACTTGTTTTGCACATTTACAGGGTTATTCAGTCATAATGTCATTAATTTTAACCACGTATTCGGAAGGCTTAATAAAGACAGAAAACCGGAAAAAAATGTTTATTCGACTTTTAAAAATGAAGGGAAATCAACCCATAACTCCCGCTAAGAGGGCGGCCCTGCCAGATGCCCGGATGCTCGGAAAATCACGAACAAATCGTCATCTGAAGCGAACAGCGTTGCCAAGTTCACATCATAATCTGTGGTTCACATTTAATTAATCCGCTTTAGTATACGGATACATACATTCGAAACCAATAAAATGCAAGTAAATAAAGGATCATGCTGCATTTTATTATAACTAATTTTAATAATTGTATTAACTTGGTGCAAAATGTTTTAACAAGCCTGACTTCTCGAAGTCAACTTTCGTTAAAACAAAATAAATAAAGCAGAGGTTTGTAGGCACACTGTATTTTATCAAATAAAAAGAGTCGGCACACTAAATACCCGAATATACAAAATACA